AAATGAATAAATAAGTAAAGAAATAGCAGTATTCAAGACAGCAATGGCAAAAAAAGTTCATTAAGAGCTGGTTAGCAGATGGCTGTTATGAACAGTATAAAACAATTGAAAAGAATGCACGAATGAATGCTGCTTGTATGTAGAAAATCATCAGCACCTCATTTGAACGCAGACCATGTTGCTGTCTGTCCCAGTTGAATTATCTCAATTATATATAATATTGTAAAATCAAGTGATCTTACCAATTCCATACTCATAAAAACGCTGTGCCTTGTGTTTTTATTGATTTCACTGAATGCAGTGCTCGACAGAATGTACGAGTCGTCTTAGAGGGTCAGAAGCACGAGCAAGAAACGTCTATTGTTCTCAGAGGAACCCCAATCGAAGTTCGGAGTTACTCTATCGGGTTTCACTGGAGATAGAATAATTCCATTCCTCTCAGATTTAACCCTAATTCGAACCCAAATCGCATCGTCATCGTTTATTGCTTTCGTTATGAACTCGATTGCAGTGAACACCGAAGTGTTCACATTGACCAGTTCAGTACAGATTTTTATTCGTATTCTGCACTTCATTCCAGCAGTGATAGTGAAGAGGAATGTGTGCTTTCATGTTCGTTATCGATGTTCGTTGTTCGTATTGCTCCATTTCAGTTCAGTCGAGTTCTGATCCTTATAATTTGCAAATGTCCGTTCATTTTGTTTGCCTAGTGTGCATGAATGTGTGTGCGAGCGATCAGTTAAGTTTCAAGCTGCTGCTTATGCACTGGTGTCATTGCTTCGTCCAAGTATCTGGGCGTCGCTCGGTGGTGGTTTTGTGAGGATTATCTGTTCACTAATCTTTTGCTCGTTGTTTCCATTAATCTTATCCCATTTGTCAGAAAATTCGTAAAATTTTGCATTTTGTTGTTTGAACTGAAAACATTTTCGATGGAGTAAACGTAGAGAAGTAATCAGCAAACGACTAATGACGCGATGATAGATGAATATAAAGATGATGAAGAGAAAGCCCAATCCAATGAGCCAATCGGCCAGTCTGGCGCAAACTTTCTCATATGGGTGCGTAACTGGTGTGTTTATGAACGTATGTGCTTACTTATGTATTTTAGCAGTATTTTAACGCAGACTTATCGATGAGGACCATTCTCGTTCAGTTCCACTCATATCCTCGCTGTTTTAGTTTGATTAGAAATATTTAATCTTATGAAAAAGACGAAATTTAATCATTTGTAACACAAATGATGCGATTAGTATTTCACTGAGTCAGTCAAGCATTCAATTTCAGGAAATAAAACATTTGATGACTTTACGTAGTATGTTGGTGACTTCTTCATTAGTTGTAAGTGACAAACCGTTTTGGTTGTTATGTATATATCGATTCCTAAGTGGTCATGATTTCGTTTACATTTCATAAATCCATTTTCTATCTCCAATTTAAGCCAAATTTTTTGCATTGAAGTTAGATGATGCCATTAAAGAATGCCTTCATGAATGAAGTAACCCAGTTTGTTGATGTTGCTGAGGTGTATATATCATCAGCTTACGAAGTAACGGTTATTTGGGTTCGTTTAACTTATGTATACGACAAGGTTAAGCCACATCTTGAATCTGAATGTAGATGATGCTGTGTCTGAAGATATTCAAATGTGACTTGAAATGAAACATTATCAGTGAGGCATGAAATGACTGTAGTTCTCATGTGACATCACCGTATATTTGGATTATCTTTTATTTGGTACTTTAGCCGTGACTGATGCCTTCATTGTCTAAAATTTGCTTAAAAAAACTTGTGAGGAAATTCTGAGAGAGGAAAGTTTTTAAAGATGAAAATTCTGAAGTGTGAAGGAAGGATCTGTTTCACTGAAAGAGAAAATGTCTCATCGAATGATCACACTGTCAATTGAATCAAATGATAATTTTGTATTAGTCAAATTGATTTTCATGACTTGATTTTAATTTAACCGATAATCACAAGTTGGTGAATGTCTTCATATAATTATGAATGATTTTCAACAACTCAAATGTTGTGTCAAAATCATGTCTTCAAAATACCAATGATCATTTCTGAGTAACGTTGATCGTGATATATTTCATTCACTTCTTTGAACAATTCATCTGATAGACATCATATAATGTTTGAATCAGCTGTTTTTATTGATGATTCATTGCATGATTTGTAATTTCATCTCATCACTGCATTGATTTCAGAAACACATACGACTTCGTTTAAATATGAATGTCCTGGTTGTATGATGATTCAATTTCTTTTGCTTTGAAACTCGATGTACTTCCGAATGAATTCAGCTTTAATTGAACCGTTCAGAGATGCAGCCACATATATATATGTCTATGTTATATATTGACGAATGCGTTAATCGAATCCCTGTCGTCTAGTCTCAGTGGTCTGCTATTACATCACTGCACTAAAACTTCAGTACCGAAACAAGCAAGCTGTTCCCTCATCAGTGATGTTTTCTTCCTTATAATTTGCTTCTTCTGCTACCTCAGCCATTCATTTGTAATAGCACTAATGATCATTCTCGTGAGGTTAATTAATGAAAATAGCCATAAGTTCAAAGAAAATATCTTATATGTTGTATATGTACTTATTGAGTACAAATCAGAATAACTGTGAAAATGAAAGTGGTAATAATTCCAATGATTTGCTGTTTATTCATAGATAAATAGCATCACAAGAGCACGTGACGATTGTGAGTTACATTTCTGTTCAGAAAAGAGCATTTGGGTATTATGTTCACAACTGTGTTATGATTGTAATGAGTATGCGAAACGACCAATATGAATATTACTTTAGCAATATTACTTATATCAGTTGTTATTATGTGCTTATTAATACTGCAGTTGCACCCATCCAATTTTCATATTACCCAGCTTCGTTTAATTTGGTGTTCACATTGGTTGAAACGTTCACACATTTATATCATTTAAAGCAAAATCACTCCCACTTTATTGAGCCGATGAATTTCTTGATAAAAGAACCACAGAAACTTTTTTAATCCGTATGCATTTTTTACATAATTCCAAAGTTTTTAAAAGCGTAAAATAGCAGAATTTTTCACGCAAGAAAACATAAAGAATGGCAAGATGGCAAGAAAACATAAAGAAAACGTGAGAATAACGCCAATGAATAATTTTATCGCTAACTACGCTCGCTAACATTCATTCGGAGAGTTGCCCTAAGTGTATGGAGGAGAACACACACGTCCTAAATTTCTTGTAAGAGGAACTGCTACAGCTGTCCTGCCAAGAGAGAGAAGAAAAATCAGATTGTTTATTTGATATTTGGGTACTGAATAGGTATGGAATGCCAGTCAACAGGCGCAAGGAATGAGTGGAATAAACGAAATAACTTTTGAAAATCCCATCAGTTCTACACTAGGTAATGCCCAACAACAAAAGAATGGACAATTGGAGAAAAGAGTAAGAAAGTAAACTTTAATTCTAGGAATAATTGTGGTTGAATCAAAGTTTCAATCAAAAATAAACTTTGGAAGCAGGAAGATATTCATGTCGATAACTTGTATTTATTTGATCACATATTTGTATTTATTTGACCACAGTGATCATTCGCTATCCATTTTACGGTCATCAACAAGAAATTTTATCGATTCAGTTAACAAGTATAATACTTACATTCATTCATCCTGAGCAACATCCTATGTTCATGCAAACCTTCGCACCCAAATAAATGTCACATACCCTGTTAACACATGGAAATCATGTGAGGAAATGTAGTATTCATGCGTTCTGAAAGAGATGTATTTCCTTAGAGAATTCTGATTAGTAATATACTTTCAGTGCTCGAATGTCACTCGTATCTGTGTTTAATCATTAACTGAATGAAAGTGATGGGGAAGATGCATACGCTGCAACGATTGTGGGTAGTGGTGTTGATGGTGACGCAATGCGAAGATTCTAACAAAATTTGGAAACTCTAACAATTACTACTGGTCAATGTTGTGTACTAACAATAATTCATTTCGTGACGCCAGGCAAGTCTCACATCCAGTATTTTTCATAATTCTGTGATTTTCTGTTAAGGATTCGTTGAGTTGATTTGTACGAACGCAGGCAGCGACTAACTTAGTTATCCTGTAGCCTTATTTGCAGGTTCAGTAACCCTTTTTTACCGTGAAAACTTTGTCATCAATTTAATGTGTATAGTTTTTGTGCATAAAATACACGCACATAATATTGCAGTCTGAGCAAATATGAAAAATACTCTCTCAGATCATATTTATAGTTGCATTTTCAAGATTTTCTCATTTGCTACATTGCTTAATGTGTTTATGCACGTTGTATGTGTGCATATAAACGAGCAGAAAGATTTTTGTTGATAAGCCAATCAATCGCTTTCAAATGCTATATGCACAAGAGATGACGGCAAATTATGCATCTCTCACACCTGTATTTGTCAATGAATTTATTGCCAATTAGCATCTCATTCATACATTATTGAAAATATACGATCAATCAGTGCAGGTTTATGTATACCTATATATCTCAATTGATCTCAGAACTACTGTAATGTTTGTGATAACTAATTGTGTGAAGGTTTGTGGAAACACAATACCCATATGATATTCAATGTATATTTTGAATCACTCAGCGTTATACATAACAGATGTTGTGCGAGCAGCAATTGATTATTGATAAGTAAATTTCCAGTAAACACATTATGCGTTCAACATCGACGGGGATACCACACAATTTTTAATCTTCCTGTTGAAGCAACTTGAAAAGACCCATTATCAACTCGGAAACTCACAAAAAACAATTTCAGTATGAACGTGTAACTATACAGGCGTTGAACTTTCAATCCACTGAATCAGTTGAGTTTCACAGTTAGGAAAATAGTCGCTCCGATAAAGGACTGTGAAAGTTTGAGGATTGTTTGCATTAATATATTCACTCATCCTAACAAGATATCAGAAAACATTTTAAGAATCAGTTGAACAATGAATTCCAAATACTTTCAGTTGTATTTTGGTTGTTTATGTGGAACCGTTGTTGTGCATTGCGGGATTCGTACTCAATACGGCATGCATCGCCGTCTTCGTGTCAGTATCGTCACATGGATATTTTCGTAAAACATCGTTACTGCTTTATTTGATAGCAATGTGCATGTGCAACGCTTTACAGCTTTTACTCTCTGTATTTGTGTTGATTCTGCCTGCAGCCGAACAGGTAAAAACAACTTTGGTTAACTATCGTTTTTCCCATCATCTCCCTCGGCTCACGCAGTTATGAAATTGCTGAATTTTCACTAGTTGCCTGCACCAAAAGTAATATCACTCGATCCGATTAGCTCGATTTGAACAGGTATAGATGGTTGCTGTGTGAGAGAACGCGATACTGTTAATAATGGTTTTATAGACGCACCAATAGTGATACAAATTCATTGAACTGAATGTTAACTACCTTAATGAAGGAATTATTCCATTATTAACTTATGAGGTGTTTTTTTGCATCAAAGTTCTTGCGTAAAAACTATTGCAGTATATTTTGGAAGAATTCGGTGAGGATGTGGAGATGCTGACAACAATAAACTCATATTCGATACGAATCGCTTATCCGCTATTGTTGGCCGCTAATTACGCGTCCATCTGGATCTTGACGTTGATTTGTGCACAACGATTCCATGCAATTTGTGAGCCATGGAGTGCTTGGAAGGCCAGATTACAAGTTGTTCGCAACAGTCGCCTTCCGATTTGTCTTGTCGTCATTCTTGCAATCGGTTCGGGCGTTTACAACTTATGCGTTTGAAAATTTCACTGATTCATCAATTCAATCGTATATTTACAGTCTGACGAACTTTCCGCACAGTTATGAGGGGGTGGTAATCAAGAAAGCTTAGTATATTCGTATTCATAACAAAAGGATGAAATTGAACGAGAAGCTACCGTATTTGCATTACACTCGCAAGCCAATATCAGTTTCGTTAATGAATCTCACCTCCATAGTTTTGAAAGAAGTATGAGTAGAAATTTGAATGAACATTAGTCCAGAGATAGAGGATGCATTTGAACGTTATGAGGCTCAGCAATAGACGTATCAGTTCAGCATATCACCCCTTCATCAATATGAAGCTCCTGTCTCTGAATTGGTTCTTTTCATAGCAACTAAAGTAATAATGTCGTGATCCAACGTAAAGGTTCGAAAATTAGTATTTTCTGATTACAGCAATTTACTTCTCATGAATGAGCACCACAGGAATCGATGAAAAGAAATAAACGACCAATTCGGTTTCGTTCACAATGCAATATTTTCAAATCGGAAAGTGAACCATATTTAGTGATAAAATTTGAAGTAAAAGAATTTATTGCGTAAAAATGAAGAAATTGGTGACTTATTACAAGCTTGCTGTATGGCTTCATGCGTGCACTGAGTCATTTCAGGATTGAATGTAATCAGATTCTGGGAATTGGAATGGCTCGATCAAGGACTCAGAGAATCGGCATTAAAAAAGCATCACTTATATGTTATTCTGCAAGAAGGATTCGTTTACGGTGTAATCGTGTATGGTTGTCCAATCGTGATGCTTTTATGGCTCAATTACAACATTATTAGATTGATCCAAACTCATGAAGTAAACATTTTTGTACTGATCTTCGTGTATTCTGCAAGCTTTTTAATATAACAGTCTGAAAAGGGTTGGTATCACAAACTCGTATTTTTGAGCAATAACACTGGAATAGTGACGTTATTCATTCAAGTACATCTAGATGGAAGCAACATCTCAGCTGTTTTCATATGAAACACAGGTTAAAATTTGCGTTCACTATGTGTTCGACAGCTCCTTGTATTGAGCTCTGCAATATTCCATTAGTAGGGATTTTGATTGAACCATGTAAATTTAGTGAATGCTGAGTCGTTCTTACTTTCAGGTAACCAGGCAGCGACCAATAGCTGAATATCGTACAGCACTTATGATTGTTTTCGTTTTCGTCTTCTTCTTTCTTTGTACTACACTGGCAGTTTCTATTCGTCTTATACTGTATGATGTTAATATTCTGTTAATGCACTGATATCTTTCGTTTTCGAACGGAAATTGAGTCTGTATTCTCAATTAATTTATCAGAATCGTATCGGAGAATAATTTTGGCTTTTTTGATGTTGCGTTCATAAAAGAAATGATCGAGAGTTCTTATGGTTTGCAGTTTAGGATCGCTGGTAAAGGAATGATGAGTGGAGCGGATTTCACATGGCTGGTTGATCTGAGCAATTTGCTGATGAACATGAATGCGATCGTCATACCGATCGTATGCTTTGTGTTTACTCGTGGATTTCGAGACATATTTTTTATGATTCGATTTGCACCTAATACGAATACGTATAGCCAAGCAGCTGGTGCACCGCTCATTGCGAAGAGCGTCAAATAATGGCGATAGCTGACAATATCATCTTCCATTATTGCTCTTGATTGCAGTATTCGGCTTGAATTTTTAAAGCACATTATCAGCTTAATTCAAGGGCAAAGCATATTGAAATTTAAACCAAATAAATTACCATGAAATGAATCAAAAAAAGGTGTGCGATATAACCACATAATGTTCCTATTAACTCAGTCGGTAAAATTCAAGCATCTTAATCAAAAGTTCAGTCAAAATCAGTACATCAGTTTGTTTAGTCAAAACTGAATGGTGTAACGACATCATTGATGTTAGCCAGATTATAATCTGACCTTTACCCAAGTACACTAATCAAAATGCACCAATTTCACCGTCACTCTTTCACAAGATGTATCTTTGCATGATAATAAATGTTCATCATCTTTTCCTGCTGAATATTATTCACAATATCATTCTGATTATCAAGATCATCATTCTGATTGCTTGAGGAACAGTACATCATCTCACACTCTTGTTCCGTTTATGCTATAATCAATCAAAGTATTATATCAGGTCTAATGTATGATGTCCTGCATTTGTAGTCTACGAATTGATATGGCACTATGCCTATGCTAGTAATTCTATTGGATATATGTTCACTTTTCGATACAGTATTGTATTTTATTGGTAGTTACCATTATTGAATGGTTGACTGGTTCGAGCAGGTAAAAATAAATATGAATTTGTTTGCAAGAGCTTCTTCAGTTTTGTTGTGTTTCAGCCAAATTATGTAGTTGGAAAATTGTGCTACTTTTCAATTGCTTTCCAAATTTCACTTGCATTTTTCTGCACAAAGATGAAATTCATCGTGCTGTTGGTCAACAAACAGGATGCATTTTCGATTCTGACAATGACCACACACACTAATGGTGTTCGATTAGCACCACTGATCTCGAATTTTAATCGTAATGAAATGATGCAATTGATCAGCGATGTAGTCACTAATACGTCATTTATCCTTCTATTCAAATGAAAGACCAGTTTCAGAAAATGTGAATAAATCATAATTGTGTTGTTTGCCGTATCGCGAAACTGAAATCGCCCAGTTAATTCAATGCTTACCAAATCATTTCATTTCTTATTTCATTGTAAAGAGTCCAATTCAACCCAGAAATCATAAGGTTAAATTTAATTGCACAAGCTCTTAGAAAATTATCCATATGATTCAACTTTCTAACTTCAAAACAATCTATTCATAGAGTGAACATCACTTGTTCAGAACTAGGTTTGGTTTCATTACTGATTTTTTCTCCACATGTTCACTCTAAACTTACAGATTTCGTTTATATCCACTCAACCGTGTCTGATGAAATCATATTTTATTGTCCTACATCGATAAGGTTTTCAGCCATCCAAATGCAAGAATGCAAGAAACATACTGCTAAATGTTTTTTAGCCACTTCGTAAATAAACGAAGTTTTTTGCTGTGCAATTTGATAACCATATTTTATTTGGACACTGATCATTCGAGTGCTCTTCACAGAACAATGAAAGCGATCGTATGGTGAAGAAACAGACCAATTAGCAAAGACGTATCTAAGTTCCGCATTCGGAAATCGAAAGCCAAAAACAAACCAGTGCGTTTTCTTCTATTCATCATAAACACTCTTCTATCAAAACTTCGCTTTATCTTCCCACAAAATCTTTTGGAGAGTGCTGAAAAGCGTCGCATCGTTTCTATTTATCGCATCATATAAAACAAAACATCAGCACTCATATTGTCAGCGATGAAAAATGTTGATTACCGTTCAGTCGTGCCCAATCTATATTCTAATTAACAAAAAAATTTCGTCGAATAACAATCGTTATAATATCCTCATTGTTCTCCCCAATCGTTTTACGATAATATCGTTTCGTCAATAACTTTTGTGGTATAATAAATCATGTTCGTGTATTATTTTGGCGAAACTTTCAATGAAATGAGCTCAAAACGAACGAGCTATTGAGCAGTATGCACAAAGACATTATTGCAAATTGCCACTTCTAATCTTGCTCGTCAATTGCCTCATTTCATTCATTCAGTTTCGTGTCAAAATGCCTTCTTGCTTGTCTTCATTATAGATATTAACATCGTGCAGGTAATAGTACATATTTGTAATTGTGAGAATGAACGTCAAGAACTATATATTTGCATTGACATTTCGAATCACAAAAGCTAGCTGAAAGCTTCAGTGTGTTCATGACTGGAATCGTTAGATGATAAGAATATGCTAGATTATTATCTTACGCTAGAGAATTGCAACGTCAATTGTTAAGAGACGTTTTTAGAATTCTTAGGGTCCGTTTAGGGTTCATAGAGTTGGAGCGTTAATGAAATGAACAGTGGTGACCCAGATGTAGACCTCTTAGAGGAGGCATTTACGTGAATATAAGTGACTGCTCGAATCAATTGCAGAAAACGATTACGATTGGCACCAATGTTCCAAGAAATTGTCATTAGCTTATATTTGTTTCGGTATGCATTATCTATTCCAATTGATAACGGTATTGAAGGTGGTCCTGAAGTGGAGTGTGGTGCAACATCATTAGGTAAATGTTTTCTACAGATTATAAATATCATTCCGTTGTTTTGATTTAGAATTTATTTCGTTTCTCATCAATACTCTAATTAACTTCTTCCCACTATTGTATGATCACCCATTCAATCGAACCATCAAATGCATTGTTCAAAGATATCTACCCAGCAGCAACTTTCCGAGTGAATCGCTTTGATCGCAATTTGGAAACATTTTCAAATTTTATGACTCCTGAACAAAAAGTCTCTGTTTGGAATATTTTTCGGCAAAAATCGTTTTACGAGGCATATTAGTTGTGAACGAGATGAGAACTGACGAAGGCGATATCTTGGCCAGCTCAGATTTACTAGGATTGCTTGTTAACAAAAATTTATCAGCCTTGTTAAGCAGTTTATTTTAAGTTTGGCATGATTAGCCAAGCTGAATCATGAATCTATGCGTTTCATAATAGCACCTTTCTTGGAAAATAGTATGAGTGAGGAAAGGAGAGGGAAGCAGGGGTTGGTAAAAACTCTAAAAAGTCAATTGCGCGACGTGCCGATCATTTGTGGTTAAGCTTAGGCCGCACATTCTTTAACACTTCGTTCTTGTGTCCGTGTTTATCACCCGGCGTAATTACATGTCATGCAAAGTCTGACAACTAGTTGCTTGTTGAAATGTGCAAATCAAATCCAGCAGCCATGCTATTAGGATGGAAAACCGCTGATGCTGAACAAACAGAGTTGCAGGGTTAGAAACGAATTCTTTATATGTGATTAAATTCAGAAATAAACTTCAATACAAGAAATACGTTCGATGGTCATGTTTATGTGAAAGGTTTATACGATAAAGATGAATGCCGAACGGGAAGTACTGGAAAACCGATTGCGGATATTGTACTTCCATTTGATAGTTGCAATCTTGCACGAGTTAGATCGTTGAATCCGCGAGGCATTTTCGTTCGCACAACAGTTGTCATCAGTTTTCATCCTCAGTTTCTCACAAAAATCGATCGAGCTTATCGTATCGAATGTTTTTATATGGAGGCTGATAAGACAGTCAGCACACAAATCGACGTCTCTGAAATTACAACTGGTTTTCAAACGCAAAATGTACCAATGCCAGTATGTCGTTATGAAGTGAGTTTATTAAAAATTATCTTCTATCAAATATTCCCATTATCGTTCACGCATTTGAATAGTTTTTAGTTAAGTGCTGAATGTTGCCTTTGCTACATGCTTCTTTTTACGACGATTGACTAAAAACTGCCAACAGATCATCACTGCGTAGATTCTTGGCAAACTTCTTCACTGTCTTACATTAGACCAAAACATTTTGAAGCAGATGTAGTTACATGAAATGGCGAGAGTGTTAATTGGATGAGACAACTAGTGACAAAACTGCAGCGATATTATGAACGGATCATTCAGAGAATCTTTTTTCACTGAGCTCGTAGAATTTCACAGGAATGCATCGAAAAACTTTGACGTATAACTCACTAATCGCGTGAAAGTTGTAACAGCAATCATGTGAAAAGCTACTTTGGTATGTGTGTAGCGTTTATGTGACAGCGACTTTTGAATTGTTACTACTCACAGCATCAAAAGTGTTCTGATGACATAAGAATTACTTCTGAATAAACAAAACATTGAGAGGATTTTCGGCGATTACATGAAGAGATTTATTCGATCGTAATGAATAGAAAGATCATATCATGTAAGATCATATCTCATCTATCGCACTGTCATCATCAATATCAATCATTGCATGATTTATATCTCACAATTTTCATCTCAAACAGATTCTTGACGGAAGTCCAGCTGGAGAGCCGGTTCAGTTTGCCATAATCGGTCAACAGGTCTATCATAAATGGACATGCGATTCGGAAACGCTCGATACATTTTGCGCAATCGTACATTCATGCGTGGTTGATGATGGACTTGGGCATTCAGTTGAGGTGTTGAATGAAGAGGGTTGTGCAATAGATAAATATCTGCTTAATAATCTCGAATATCCAACCGACCTGATGGCTGGTCAAGAAGCACATGTTTATAAATATGCAGACCGATCACAACTCCTTTATCAATGTCAAATTTCTATTACAATCAAAGAACCCGGAAGTGAATGTAAACGTCCAGAATGTAACGATCCTCAAGGATTTGGTGTACTCAAATCTGATCAATTACAAGATAAAAAAGTCAGTCAGTTGCGATTGTTGAAAAAACGTCACGTTAAGAATGAGAACATACTTGACGTAGAAACCGATGTGAACGTTTTGGATATCACCTATCAGGTTCGTTCGCTTATTAATACAACGTGGCCACAAATATAAATTCAGTAACCATATGGTTCGCAAATATGAATTTCCCAATCAGCACTCTGTAGAAAAATGCTTACACAGCTTGAAAAAATTCCATAAGATTATACCTTTTCAATCATTTAAAATCGCCGAAAGTAAAGGATTCTTCACCCGAAAGAAACGATTTTTACACTATAACAAATAATCCGGGCATTTTCAAGGAATGAAAACATTTTGGATACATAAGAAGCTCGGAACGAAACTATTCATTCCGATACCGAACAGCTTAATTATCATTTATATCCTCAGAGAATCTAAACTGGAAGCGGAGACGAAGTGTGGAAATTATTTCGAAAAAAATTGATGTTACATTAGCAATGTTAAGTTCGTAATCTGTGAAGATGATTTGCCTTGCAGGACATTGCGCTTCCAGAAGGTGTTCAGAGTGAATCTCACAATGGTGGTGCAGGGAGTCATGTTATTCAGACATCGTTACTAGGCAAATACTGTGTTTCACAATTAGGAATTTCGTTACTTGCAATACTATACATTGCAATGGTTGCAATTATTTTCGTTGCGATATCATCAATCGCCAATGTATCACAGAGATCTTCAAAAAGTTTTATCGAAACCTGATCAACCAGCATTTGTCTATCTCAACGAATTATTTCAAAATAGCTTCTGCTATCATTATGTGAATAAATATTTAATAATTTTTTAATTTCTTCACTGTGATAATTTTCATGCAGTCATCAAACATAACTCATCATGTTCACAACCGCATGATATTTTTTGCCTTTTCATTTGATTATACTTCTTCGTATGGATATTCAAGTTCACATATATATTTATTCAAATTTCTGACCGCTTCACGTACAATTTCATTCATATTTCTGCGTTTCAACACTAATATAAGAAACAAGAAAAAAACAAATTCTAAAAATCAGCAATCATAAGCGCATAATGAAAAATGATAGCATAATCAGTTATCATCATTAGTAACAACCACCGTACATCCCCAAACACATGTTGCAGTGCAATTGTATTAGACTCTACGTTCGAATTCTTCAATCTGGACTCTATCTCTTTATTAAATAATCAGTTATCATCATTAGTAATAACCACCGTACATCCCCAAATACATGTTCCAGTGCAATTGTATCCTCGTTCAATTCTTAACTACTCTATCGTCGCACTGATTGCCCGCCTTTATAAACCCTCTTCAATTTAGACTCTACGTTCGAATTCTCACTTCTTCTTCAGTGTCCTGTTCCATAAGTCTAAACGTATCAATCTGTCTTCCAGACCGTCACAAAAAGACTTATTCGTAAGTAATAGTTTATCCCTTTATTCAACAGTTATGTCTTACCGGCAATAAAATAGAATATTGACAACAATATGAGCTCTTATTATCATTAGCATCAGCAATAACAATATAAAGAACAACTTAATAACTTGAAAATATTACTCATTAACAGTGATGCCCAAATTTGAACTGACTGACTTAGCTCCGGCTCCCGCCGCAGCTTCAAACTTCTGTAATTTCTGCTCCAGCTCCGGCTCCGCACAATCAAAAATTCTGGCTTCACTCCAGCATTTTCAGAATTCCGACCCTACCTCCGCACTTCATAAATTTCGGCCCTTGCCCCGATGCGACCTCTGCATACTCGAAATTCTCGTGACCGGACAATTTGCCTAAAGACGTATTGCCTACCGACAGTTTGTCGAAAGGCACATTGCATTACGGACAATTTGCCTAATGGACATTTTGACTAACGGGCGGTCTTTCTAATGGACATTTTGCTTATTAGACAAAATGTTCATTAGGCAGAGTGTCCGATATGCAATGTGTCCTCAGACAAACTGTCGTTAGGCACAACGTCTTTAGGCAAATTGTCCGGGTATCAAAATTTTGGCATAGCAATCGGTGTGTCGTCGATGGAATATCTGAACAATAACCAAAACATTAGCTATAATAAACGATCACTAGAATATTGGTAAATGGAGTTTGTGCATTTGAAATCATAGCAGATTCGTTGAATATGTTATTGGATTGGACTGTGACGCTCCTGCCGTAGCAGCTGGCGTTAATCCACATTGGGATTCAGGGTCTAAGAGAATCCCGGGATTTCGGGCTTTGATGAAATGAGTTATTTTTTATAATTTTTGCTATATGCCCATCTGGAACCAAGCATGAATTATTCCCGGCTCATTCATATGCAGCAATATTTGTTGTTTATCACCCAAGCGGTAATGAAAAGATGAATCATTGTACAATGGCTCCACCTCTGCTTTCGTTCTTTGTAGAACAACGAAAAAGAATTTCATAATGTCATCATTCTCGCATCGCGTTTCTTCATAACCGTTGCTTTCTTTTCCATTTGTTAAATTCCATTAGGTTTGCATTTATTCTTAAAATATCTTCGAACATACAAACTTCTCCGGATATGTTAAAAAATACAACGAAAGCGATGATTATTCTCGCTGGTAGAATATTTTTCTTTTCAAAAGAGAGGGTGAAACTACGAAACGTAAACTGTACGGTGAAATTAAAAAGCAAAAGGATCTTCCACGAAAGGACTACTTGTGCATTTACCGTCGAGGCGCATAATATAATATTCTGCAAGGTGGAGGTCAGAAGAGACCCATCTACTATCAAGTGCTCAAACCTAATCCTGCACCAGCTGCTAATCCATTGAATAGAATGACTGCTAAGCTTTGCTCCGTTGATCGTTTGAGTTTTAACACTTTTGCGACAAGTGAAATTCTTTATAATGTCTTTCAATTCAACAAAACTCCACTATTTCATTCTCTAACGATTATTATAAAACAGCAAAATCAACCATTATTAAAGGTGTAAAAGATTCTCTAGAGAATGGTGAGGTATTCAGCGCGACTCTGGATGAATACTAATCAAGTAAAGCAAATTTTGCTTGAATGTCATTCTCCATGGTATTGAAATTTCGGTTGTTGCTGAATTGCGTTTGTATGAAGAAACGAAGGAAAGAGATGCGAAAATATGAAAGTTGTTCAAATGGATTTAAACGATCCTCCCTAACACACCGGAATTCGACGAGCCTTCTCTGTATTATCATTTCTTTTTTCTGGTCAAAACTGAGAATGCGAATGAGTGATTTAACTATCAACGCTCTAACGCTGTGGTTCTTATGGGAGGAGGGGGAATTATCTATTTTGGGTAACTTAGGGATCTCGTGGGAGGTAACGCAGGAGGTCGGGAAACCAGTATTTAGCACAGTTGTTATGTTGTGATAAAATGCCATTGTGATGGTGTTTTTTCACTTCGGTATGTAAATGCGATTAGTTCACTCTCCTTTCTCCTATTTTATGAATATCATTAGCTCGTCCGGACCTAAACAAAAGTCTTTTTAGTCACAAATGTTTCGTAAGTTCAATATATTCGCTGACATCGTCTCTCATCAACATTGGGGATTGATTGAGAGAAATTAATATTTGATGTTGTTTTATTATGATGAAACGTCATGTGATGGTGTATTTTCACTCAGATATCTAAACGTGGATTGCGCATGGAAACGCTAATCTTCATCCTATTTTCTGAGTATCTTTAGTTCGTTTAGGTCTGAACAAAATTCTGTTTGAAGAATTCACAAATATCTCGTAAGTGCTTTAATATATTTTTCAACCGGTATAATACTTCTTCCGTGATGGACGACGACATTTCTTAAGATCTTAATAACTGAAATGCTTGAAAAGTAGAATGAGAATTTCAAAGTAGACTCAATGCACCATTCGCATCTCAAAATCCTCGATAGTTCGAATTTATTTTCGTCCCTCATGTTACATTTGAATGGTACTTTTCTTGTACTTTCTTTCAAGATTTCACAATGCTATTACCCGTATGATTTGTTGAATATATTATTTTCTCATTAATTACGAACATATTAATCCAAAAAACTGTACTGAACACATGGCACTTCCATATTTCGAAAGTTGCCGGATCCCAGGATTATTCCGAGGGTGAAAAAGGATTCCGTAGTAGCAAAAATCGTCGGGAGTTTGCAAACTCTAATTACGATAACTTGAAATACGCTCATTCCGAACTCACGTCTAATGGTTACTTCTGCAAATCGTTTTGGGACTGAATATTTTTTAAATTGTTCACCATTTGATGAAATTTACGGAGGTGCGATTGACATATGAATTTACTAATTTGGAGTGATGAGGCATTGGATTATGTGGCAGTGTCAACCGTTTAGAGTTGTGAGTTTCGCGTACCGAAACGATCAAAACAGTCATTCAAGATAAGACTGGTTTATGAGTGGCGATAATAAAAGTGAAATGCTGCGATAGATTAAACTTGCTCTCAAACTTAAGTTGAGCCTGATGTTGGCGAACCATTTATTTATTTAATAGATATCTCTCCTCGTTATGATAGAACCACCAATTATTTTCGTGGGTGCATCCCCAAACTGTAGCAAAATGGTACGAGGTACCAATAATGCAATGGGTTGCCAACGAAGGGTCGGATTTTCTCTTCATGTTTGAACTCAGAATCTAGAAAATGTCCGCATGCAAGTGCGTTCTTCAATTGTATAAGCCCATTCCATTTCTGCAGTAAGTAATACTTGAGACATTCATTTGGTTGCATTTTTCATTGGTTAACAATTGATATTTTGATACTTTAGGAATCGAAATGTAAAAACAATAAATACAAACAAAGCAATGGACATGGATAACATAAACGATCCAACTGACGATTTTTTTTACCGTTTTACGAATTGATCGATGAAATCCGGCATTAAGAAAC